AATGCCAGAAGAGGGTGTGCCATCCCCTGAGACTGGAATTACAGTCAGTTGGGTGCTGCCGTGTGAGTGCTGGGAACTGAACTTGGGTCCTTTATGTTGTGAGGCATTCACCAGAGAAGATGGCTTGGGTGTGGGTTTAAGCCCATAGAAAGACTATTAGCTGGCCAGCGACAACATTTTGCATTCAAGATACCAGTACATCCCCAAGCCTTTCTCAGGGTGAGATTTTAAGCACAAAAACCATGTCCAGGGTTGACATATTTCAGTTAACAAGAACAGTTAGCCAAAAGCAGAACTACAGAAGCCAAAAGCAAGGTTTAGAGCCTTTCCCAGAATTATGAACCATGATGGATTAGGCCTTTGCTCTCATGTTTGGCAGGCGGTGCTGTCTATGTACTGAGTTTTACAGCCTGACTGATACGCCCATCATTGGGTCAGTTGTGCTATGGTTGAGTAACTGCTAAGGTCTGGGGCTCTGTTACAATCTGGAAGAGCAATAACTGCTCTCTGTTGTGTCAGGTGTTGGGTTCATGTGGGTCCATGGAAAGAAGAAACAGAAGCACTCGAGGATGAATTTGTTGTCTCCAGGTGCAGGGGAATCAGCCTCTGGTAAACTGACTGTCTGTAGCTTAGCCTTTATTGTTATTCAATTTTCATCTTTTTGTTTGTTTGTTTGGTTGGTTGGTTGGTTTTGAGACAGGCTGTCATGGAACCAGGCTGGCCTCGAACTCAGAGAGATCAGCCTGCCTCTGCCTCCTGAGTGCCACAATTAAAGGCTTGGCTCAATTTACATCTTTTAACAAGTCAATTTCTGTATACTAAAACCTCTTATCTGTCTCCCCAAAGAGACAAATGCCAGAGCAATTCCAAAGCCACAACACATTCCAGTTTGCCAAGTCCTCCTGTAATCAGGTTTTGCATATGATTTGAATCTTTAGGAAACTCTCAGATAAGATTTATATATTTCAAAGAGAAGGTAGAGGACACAAAAGGTAGCAGTCACAAAAGGCAGATCAAAGCCAGGTGCTAACACTCCAGAATTAAAACAGCTGCAGAATGCTGCAGGATCTCAACTGCTGAACCCTCTCTCCAGACCCTACTCTATGCTTCATTTATTTTTGCATTTTTTATTTTTTTGGTTTTTCAAGACAAGTTGTGGTAGTTTGAATGTAATTGGCCCCCATAAGCTCAAAGGACGTGGCACTATTAGAAGTGTAGCTTTGTTGCAATAATGGTGGCCTTGTTGGAGGAAGTGTGTCACTGCTGGGGTGGGCTGGAAGGCCTCCTATATACTCAAGCCACACCCAGTGAGACAGTTCACTTCCTGTTCCCCGAACAAACTGTATTAACTCTCAGCTCCTTCTCCAGCACCACGTCTGTCTGCACATCCCCATGTCCCACTATGATGATAATGGACTAAACTTTTGAAATGTAAGCCAGACCCAATTAAATGTTTTCCTTTATAAGAGTTGCTGTGGTCATGGTGTCTCTTCACAGCAATCAAAACACTAACTAAGGCACAGGATTTCTCTGGGTAGTCCTGGCTGTCCTGGGACTCTGTAAACCAGACTGGCATTGAACTTGGAGATCTACCTGACTCTGCCTCCCAAGTGCTGGGATTAAAGGTGTGTACCACCAACACCGAGCTTCTACTCTGTGTTAAAAAAAAAAAAAAAAAAAACTGGAAACAGGTAAAATTACCTTCAACACTGCTTTATTTAACTTTATATAGAGGAAATATTATAGTTTCAATTATGTCAATACAAAAAGTATTAATGAGATTATTTGCCAGACAGTGATAGTGTATGCATTTAATCCCAGCACCTGGGAAGCAGAGGCAGGTGGATCTGTGAGTTTGAGTGAAACCTGTCTCAAACAAAACAAAAAAGTATAAATGAGATATTTCATTCTTCTTTTTTCGGCTAAGTCTTTGGTATCCCAGATTATACTTAACATTTACAGTATAATGTCTATTTATTTTAGCCATATTACAAGATCGCAGTAGTTACAGATGGTTGGAAGCTTCCATAGCAACAACACTGGCCCAGAAAACTGTTTCCAAAGTTCAGTTTGCATCAACAGGAAGGCTATTTCCTGTTAAAATATACATCATGGCGCTGGAGGGATGACTCAGTGATTAAGAGGACCGGGCTTCAAATTCTAGCATCCACATGGCAACTCACAAATGTCTGTAACTCAAGTTCTAGGGTACCTGACACCCTCATGCAGATACACATGAAGGTAAAACACCAATGCACATAAGTAAAAATTTAAAAAGAAAAAACACCCGTAACCCCCCCTTCCCTGCCCTGCACAAAACCACACACACCACTGGCCCGCATCTCCATTCCCTCATTCAATATGTCTTGTTGGGTCTCTAATACATGAGATTCCCATGTGGTGCTGATGCTGTTGGCCTAAGATCACATGTCCAGAATCGCTTGCCTAAAACACAAAGAAGGTAGAGATGCCGTCCGCAGCTGAGATATTTCAGCAAAAAGGCAAAAAATGAGCGTGGTGACTGGGTGTGGAGCCCAGTGGTAGAGCACCTGTGTTTAAAAAATTATTACATTTTTATTGTGTATGTGGGGCAACAGTGAGATGTGAGCTGTGGTACAAACATGGATGTCAGAGGACAATCTGGGGGAGGTTGCTCTCTCCTTATGTCATGTGAGCCCCAGGGATCAAACTTGGTTGACTGGGTTTCAAGGCAAGGACCAGTGTTCTTTTGCACTTGCTTATTAGCATGTGTGAGGCTCTAGATTTGAGTCCCAACACTGCAAAAGAGCATTCAACAACAATGAGCTACTACTACTACATGTTTAATCGAATGGCTAAAAACCAAAATACTGACAATACCAAATCTTGGTGAGGATCTAGAACAGCTACTATTCTTGCTTATTACTGGAAAGTAAAAAGGTATCACTTTGGTAATGTCTTATAACACTAAATATAGCGCACCTTTCTATGTAGGTGTACATGCATGTGTGTGTGTGTGTATGTGTGTGTGTATGTGTGCGCGACCATATGTTGTGTGACAAATTTTTTCTCAGAGAGACACAACACACATCTACTCACCCCAGACAGGAACTCATGACAGACCAAAGACAACCGGATGAACCAATGGTTTTTGGGGTTACTTACAGGAATATGGGTGAGGGGTTACTTAGAGGAACAGAAATAACTTATAGACAACTGTAAGTCTGAAGCCCATGACAGCATGGGTGAGACTCAGCTCACAACTGGGAATCTGGGCACACTGCACAGCCTGCAGGCAGCTCTATAAGTTGGAGAGCATTCCTTCCAGGTGCTCAGCTGGTCTAAACATCTTCAAGCAGCTTAGCTGGTTTCTGCTCCTCCAGGCAGCTGGTCTGATATGAGCAGGGCTTGTTTTGGTTTTGGTGGTTTTTTTTTTTTTTTTTTTTTTTTTGGTTTTGCTTGGTTCTTTTGGCAGCTTAGGCTGCTCTTTTAAGAGGGACTCTCCACCTGTATTGCTTATTCTGCCAGGAGTGGTCTCTTGTTTGCCTTCCTGGTTAAGGAGCTTCGCTGCAGAGAATGTTTCAATTTCCAGGGAAACTGTTAAGCAACAGAATGCATGTAGAGGCCAGACACCTACTCAGGTATCAAAACTCAGGTGCCATCTACCTTTTTAAAAGATTTTTTTTTTTTTTTTTTTTTGGTATTTGAGACTCCATGTCTCTATGTAGCCCTGGCTGTCCTGGAACTTGCTCTATAGAGAAGTCTGGCCTTGAACTCAGAGAACTCATGCACTATTTTTTAAATTAAAAAATTAAATCAGGGGGCTGGAGAGATGGCTCAGCAGTTAAGATCACTGACTGTTCTTCCAGAGAACAGAGGTTCAATTCCCAGCACCCACAGGCTGGCAAACAACTGTAACTCCAGTTCCAGGGGACCCAACACCCTCACATAGACAAACATGCAGGTGAAATACCAATGCACATAAAATAAAAATTAAATCGGAGCCAGGCATGGTGGTGCAAGTCTAAAATCCTAGCAATGGGGAGGCAGAGGCAGGCAGATCTTTGTGAGTTCAAGGCCAGCCTGTTCTATACAGTGAGTTCCAGGATATCCAGGGCTATGCAGAATGACTCAGTCTCAAAAAAAAAAAAAAAAAAAAAAAAAAAAAATCACATTTTTTAAAATTTAATGTGTGCGCATGTATGTGTATGGATATGCATGTATATGTAGTATATGTATGACAAAACACATGTGAAGGTCAAAGGACAACTTAAAAGAGGAGTTGGATTATCTCCTATAATTATAATGGATCAAACTCAGGCCATCAGTCTCGGTGACAAATGCTTTTTTTTTTTTAACCTATTGAGCCATCATACTGGCCTCCATCTTGTGTTTTGAGATAGGCCTTACTTTAGTGGAATTGTGAAGTAGGTAGGCTGGCTGGTTAGCTAATGATCTACCAGTACCTCTCCAGTGCTGGAATTACAAATTTGAGTTATCATGCCTGTTTTTTTTTTTTTTTTTTTTTTTTTTTTTTGACATAGGCTCTGGGGATGGAACTCAGGTTCTCACTCTTAAAAAAAAAAAAAATTCAGGGTGAAATTTGTTCAAAAATTACGCACATTTAACACTCAAAATACCTTCGCCGCCCTAAAGGGAACCTGAGCCTAGGACAGCGGGCAGCTTTCTTCTACTCATCTAACGCTACATGGGTTTCGCGTCTTTGCCCTCTGAAAAAGGCTACAGCAGTCTATTGGGCTGGCAGCTCCGCGGAATTCTGGGAACTCGGGGAGGGGACCACGATACAAAACGAAGATGCTGGCATAGGGTTCAGGGCGGAGGGCTCCAGGGTCATCGGCCGGCCGGCCCGTTGCCATGCAATTCCCCTAATCTTCCAAGCAACGCGGCCGCGAAGCCAGTAGGCTCGCGCCTCGTCTCAGCCAATCAGCGAGCCGGTGCTCGTCCACCCCGGCCAATCCCGGACGGGCTTACTTTGGGCGGGAAAAATCTCAGCGGCGGCCTGAGCAAAGCCTAGAGCGAAGACGGCCAACTGCTCCTTGTCAGCCTCGTCTCAGGGGGTAACAGACCCCGGGGCGGTCGCCCATTGGCTGGGCGGCGGGCCAATGAGGGGTGCGAGATGAGGGGTGACGGGCCTCCTAGGCGTGGGCTGGGCGGGGCGCTGGCGGCCGGTGCCTAGTCGCGAGCCACGGGTAGCAATGTAACGGCTTCTCGTCTGTCGCACCCTCTCGGCTCGGCCCCCCACCCACAGACCGGCTCCGGGCAGCGCCGAGGGCGGCTGCGGCGGCGGTGGGGTGCGGGCTGAGGGAGCTGGGCCTCGACGTCCTCCCTCGTCCCCGTACCCCGGGAGCTGTAGCGAGTCCAGGAGGAGCTGGGGGGCCCTCATGGAGGTGAGCGGCGGAGACACCTGCCGGCCCCGTCACCCCCAAGGCCCGAGGGAGGGACCTGAGGTAACCGGCGGGCCTTCGAGGATGGCGACCGGGCAGAGACGCCGAGCAGCGGGCGCGTCCGTCTGCACGCCTCTTGGAGGCGGCCGGGGCTCCGCGGGGAGAGGGCTGGTCGCGGGTGGGAGCCCCGCGTGTGGCGGGGCCGGGCCGGGCGGCGGCTGCGGGAGAGGTCCTCGGGCTGCCCGAGGCCGGGCTGGTGGCCAGGCCACCGCCGCCGTCAGCCTGTCGAGGCGCCATGGCGCCGAGGCCGTGGCCCTGCTGCAGCTGGCGTCTGTCAGGGCCCTCGTCGTTGTCGTCGTCGTCGAGCGGCCGCCTCTCAGAGCCGGGGCGCGGCGGGGCGGGGCGGGGCGGGGCGGAGGGACGCGGGCACTGAGGCGGGGACCCCAAGGTAGTGTCCCCCGAGGATGTGCGGTCAGGCTGCCCCGGCTGCAGCCCTCCTCTTCGCGGCGCCCCATGGTGACCGCGCCTTTTCCTCGTCCCGAGCAGCCGAAGGTGGCGTTCCGGGGGAGCGCGAATCGTTGCTGGAACCTGAGTGTCGACACCAGCAGCCGACTATCCGACGTGTTCAACAGCATGATGCTGACCGGCTCCACGTCCTTCTACGATTGCTACAAATCGCAGGTCCGAGCACAAAGTCCACACTCCGCCCCTCCCTCCCCCTTCGCAGCGCCCCGGTCCGCCCCCCCCCCCCCCCCGCCTGCCCCTCTCCCCTGTCGGTGCTCTGGCTCTAACCGAGGATCTGTCCAGGGAGCTACGACTCCAGCCCAGTGCATGTTGAGAAAGCTCGACAATCAGTATCCGAAAGCTAGGGAAACAGGTTGTTGTTTTTCTTTTAATTTCTCAAAATCGTCACCTCTATATAACCATATAATAGAACCCAATTTTTAAAAAATTAATTATTTGGGGGGAGAGGTGTTCCAGAAACGTGCCATGACAAACACGGACATCAGAGAGCTTTCCAGTCAGTTCTCACCTTCCATCGTGTGGGGCCCCGGGCTTTGAACTCAGGTCCTCAGGATTAGCAGCAAGCACCCCATCCCCCAAGCCATATCATTGGTCCAGAGGAAAACATTTTAAATAGCGTTCGCACAATACACTTGACTTTGGAAATAAGAAAGGATTCTTTTTTTTTAACTTTAAAGTTTGTATGTATGGTAGCTTTCCCAGCATGTATGTTTGCGCACCACCTCAGGAGACCAGAAGAGGGCGCCAGAACTCCTGAAATGTGAGCCGCCATTGCTCCTGGAGTCTTCTGGAAGAGCCTGCTGGTGCTCCTAACCACTGACTGGATTTTCTCAAATCCAGGTCCTAGCACTCACTATGATTGGTCTCTGTACATTGGAGCTATGTTTGTTGAAAAATCTCCAGTCAGAATCAGAAAGCTAGGGAAAAACTTTTTAAAAAAAAAAAAATTTTAAAATTACATTTACATTTTTAAAATTAAGATTGGGAGGGCAGACTATGTCATAGTATACATGTGGAAATCAGAGGACTTTTTATCTTGTTTTGCCTGCATGTATGTCTGTGTGAAGCTGTAAGATCCACTTGAACTTACTTAAGTTACACACAGTTGAGAGCTGTGGATTCTGGGACTTGAACTTGGGTCCTCTGGAAGAGCAGCAGTATGCTTAACTGCTGAGCCATTTCTCCAGCCGCCCCCCCAAAAAGATTTTTCATTGGCTCATTTCCATCCTGTTCTTAATATAAAGTGTCAGTAGTGTAATAACATTCATCCATATTTAGTAAGATGATGATATTGTTTTATAGTAAACATTTATTGTAAATACTTTTTCAGTTTTTGGTTTCAAATACACTAGATAATTTAAAGGTAAATTTTTTATACCTTTAATTTCCTTTGTAGTGTCATTACATGCTACTATTTAATTTTTTATTACATTTATATTGTAATATATAAATTCACTAAAATATTCTAGGTTTTGTTGTTTTGTTTTGTTTTTTGTTTTCTTTCAAGACAGGGTTTCTCTTCTCTGTGTACCCTGGCTGTCTTGGAATGGTCTCTGTAGATCAGGCTGGCTTTGAACTTACAGATCAGTCTGCCTCTGCCTCTGCCTCCCGAGTGCTGGGATCAAAGGCATGTGACACTACTGCCTGGCCTTCTTTTTAAAAATCAGTTTCAGAATAACCCAGGCTGGCCTTTAAGTTCACCATGTGGCTGAGTATAACAATGAACTTTTGATCTTCCTGCCTGCACTTCTCCAGAGGTGAGATTTTAGATGTGGCTGCCATGCCCTGGTTAAGGGATGCTGGGTTTAAACTTGGGTTTTATATATGCTAAACAAGCGCTCTGGAAACTGAGGTATATTTCCTAATTCCTGAAATCAAAATCTTTTCATTCTGCTATTGTCTATAATTATCTTTCTACTAAAATTTACTGGGGACTGATTCTGTTCAATTATTATACTTATATGAAGTATATAAGCAGGGCCTGGGGAGATGGCTCAGTGTTTGGGAGCACTGGCTGCTCTTCCAGAGGACCGGGGTTCAAGTCCCAGCACCAACATGGCAGTTCACACCTGTCTGTAACTTCAGTTCTAGGGGATATACAGACATACATGCAGACAAAAACCAAACCAAAGAAACAAAACAAATAAACAACAACAACAAAACCCTCTACCAATGCATATAAAATTAAAAAAACAAAAACTGCTCTCAGAGCACTGACAGAAGTCAGTATTTAACACTTAAAAAAAACTGTATAAGCAATAAATTAACATTGACCCAAATATTTATATATTACCAAACTTTCATAAATATTTTAGTGTTCATATATTTCTCACCATTTTATTTTAGTTGATTGTTTTATTAAAAAGACATATGTGGGCTGGGATATAGCTTAGTTGGTAGACTGCTTGCCAGCACCCAAGAGTTCTGAGTATGTTACCTAGCACTGCAGAAAATGGATATGGTGGTACAAGTCTGTAATCCCAGTGCTGGAAAAGTAGAGGGAGAATCAGACATACAGGGACAACATTAGGTTTTGAGACAGTCTGATACTGACCAGGCTGGCCTCAACCTTAACACGTAGGTGAGGCTGACCTTGAACTAATCCTCCATCTCACAAATGCTGGGATTGCAGATGAGTGCCATCATACCCAGTTTTTCTTCTAATTATAGTAATAGCATTAACATTTCTAAAGAGATAATATTCATCTTTTCATTTATTTATTTTAAAATATCTCTTGGAAATATGAAGTAGGCTCAATATTTAAAGTTGTGAAAAAGGCCCTTGGTTAGAAGTAAGATCTTGAGTTTTGGCTTAATTTGTCATATTTGTCACGTATTTGCTGAGTATCTGTTGCCTTGATTTTTTTTGTGTGTGTGATGATAGGCTAGTATTTTGCCACTGAGCTATATTCTCAGACCCAGTTTCTTTGTTTTTAAAATAGAGAAGCCAGGTGGGGCTCTGCCTGTGACCCCAGTATTTGGGAATCTGAAACAGGAGGATTACTGTGAGTTCAAAGCCAGTTTAGGCTATAAAGTGAGTTCCAAGCCAGCCTGAGCTACAGAATAAGACCCTGTCTCAACAACAACAAAGAGATATGTGTTCCCTAAGTTGACTGGCCAAAATAATGTATGTGGAATTTACATGAAAATTATAGTTTTACATAGTTACATGTTTTTCATTGAATACATTTTGTAAAACTGGGCATGGTGATACACTATCAGAACTTGAGAGAGGCCAGAAGATCAAAATTTTTAGGCTACTTCTGATGCGTTCAAGGCCAACCTGGACTACATGGGACCATATTTAGGGGAAAAAAGTGGATTTTCTGTATAATTTACTTAAAATGATACCACTAGTATCCATACAAAGTTTTCTGTGTTTAAAAGATTAAAACTCCAGCAATTATAGCTATTAGTAAGTTGTTACAAAGAGAGACCTAAAGGAAAGATGTCTACTTCTATTATTCTTAACTTAAACTTGAAGTCACGATTATTGTGTATGATGTGCACATGTGAGTAAGTGCGCACATTTCATATTACACATATATTGCTCAGAGGACAACTTTTGGAGTTCTCTCCTTCCATTGTGGGTTCCAGGTATAGAACTCAGGTTGGCAGGCTTTCAAGGACATGCACTTTTACCTTCTGAGCCACATCTTTACTCCTACCTTTATGAATGAACAAAGATTACGCTGACCATTTTTTGCAGAGTGGGAGACAGGGCTCTTGTGTCTGTGGCACATGTGGGGAAATCAGAGGACAACTTGGAAGAGTTGGCTCTCTGCTTTCATCATGTGGGTCTGGGAGATGCAAACTCAAGTCATGAGACTTGGTGGCAAACACCTTTACTCATTGAACCATCTCACTTGCTGATCCCCTTTCTTTTAATATAAGGGAGCTATTAATGGAGACTTGACGTATCTTTAGTTTAACAAAAATCTCAATCACCTTTTGTACATAAAAATTATTGCAACACAAATATGGTTTGTTTATATACTATCTGTAGTTGCTTCAGTACCAGTGCTATAACAGTTTGAGAAATGTCTGCAGATTGGAATGGTCAGCAAATGTTTATATTTCAGCATTTGGCAGAGTTCTTAATAAGTGAAGATAATAATGTTCTAGAATTGAATGTTGTTACCCCAGCTCCTAACACCTGCATTATTATTTTTCTTATTTTGTTAATACTCTCTAATAAATGAAATTTTGATCTCTCTTATTTACAAATATTTCTTTAAAATATCAGAATGAAGACAACGTAGACCTAAGGCAGACCTGCACTCCACTCTCTTCATCAACAGAGTATGCAAGTTCTTTAGACTCCTCACTCTTCTATGCACCATGGTCGTCTTACGGAGACGATATTAAACAACCTTCTAGTTCACAGATCAGTGTAAAGAACAGGTAAATGAATAAATTTCTCAGGCTAAATGAGTTGTTTTTTTTAAGTCTGATTTCACAGGGATCAAAGAATAGTGGATTTTTTTTTTTTTTTTGAGACAGGGTTTCTCTGTATTGCTTTGGAACCTGTACTGGAACTAGCTCTGTAGACCAGGCTGGCCTTGAACTCACAGAGATCCACCTGCCTCTACCTCTAGAATGCTGGGATTAAGGGCATGCACCACCAATGCCTGGCTTCTATTTTAATATTGTGGGATTATAATTTTATGTTCATCAAAGTTTTAAGAAAGCTTAAACTAGACAGTTATTTGTGTATACTTTTTAGTTAATGTTTTTAGACAGAGGTTGGCTTGTTATTCTTCTGCTTTTACCTCTTAAGTGCTGGGATTGCAGTAATGCATAGTTTCAAATTTCTTTAAATTTTTTTTTTTTTTTTTTTTGGTTTTTCCAGATAGGGTTTCTCTTTGGTTTTAGAAGCTGTCCTGGAACTAGCTCTTGTAGAGCAGGCTGGTTTCGAACTCACAGAGATCCGCCTGTCTCTGCCTCCTGAGAACTGGGATTAAAGACGTGGGCCACTACTGCCTGGCACAATATGAAAATTTTAAAGTATTTTCTGTCCTGCAAACAGTAGGAACTTACTGCATGCTAAATATTCATTTGCCTTGGGAAAATAGCTAATACAGTAAATGTTGTTCTTGTCTTTATAATCTTTATAATGATTATAATGACAATAATAACATATTGGGGACTTGCAAGTGAGGATTAAAAAGGAGAATGGAGCCAGGTGTGGTGGTATTTGCCTTTAATTCTTTAACTCTTTGGGTTCAAGGACAGCCTGGTATTCATATATATGTATATGAATGTGTGTATGGTTATTATGCATACATATAATTATGCATAGGTATAAATCACGTGTGTGCGTGCATATGTGTGTGTGTTGTGTGTATGTGTGTATGCATGGGCTGGAGAGATGGCTTAGCCATTAAAGGCTAGGCTCACAACTAAAAAGTAAAATATATGTATATGTATATACATATATACACACACATATATATAACATTACAGAAAGCTGTTAGAAGGAAAAGCTTAGGAGTGATGTTTTACATTTATTTTAATTACATATAAAGGAGCTATTAACAGAGGCTCGATGTATCTTTAGTTTTACAAGGAAGCAGTTGAATCCTACTAATTAAAAACATTGAAAATTTAAAATTCTGGGTAATGAAATATTAGACTATATAATACACAATTCTTCAAAAAATGAAGTTAATAGATACTATTGAAAAATTCAAGGGCCAGGTATGGTGGCACACTCCTTCAATGTAACACTCAAGAGGCAGAGACAGGCAGATCTCTGTGAGTTCATGACCAGCCTGATCTACATAGTGAGCTCCAGAACAGCCAGAGCTACATAGTGAGGTCCATGTTAAAAGAGAGAAAGAGAACTTCACAAACATATATGTTAAAGAAAAGTAAAACTTTACTTTGACTACTCTGTCATTTCTTCCACAATGATAAGTATTAATGTTTTGGCAAATATTAGGTGAAAAAATTTCTAGATCTCATATACAAAGAAAATTTCATATATAAATTAACACTGTGTAGTGGAAAAAGTATTAAACTTGATGGCACCAGTGTTTGTTCAATGTATAGTTTGTAAGTCATATATCCTTGTAATATAATTTTAATATCAAGTAATTATCCATTCAACAGATAACTAGATGACTACTAATGTTTACCTTTCTCAAATATTTTAGTGTTAGGCAAATATATTTTTATCTAAAATATCCCAACAATCTGAAGGGTTGGAAAGAAAATAAGAAAAACTAATCTTTTTTGGGGGGGTGTTAGGCAAGTTACATAAGGTGACCTCAAACAACTCAGTTTTTATTTTTGTTTTCTTCTTGAGACAGTATCTCTCTACATAATCCTGGCTGTTCTGAAATTCACTCTGTAGATCAGGCTGACCTTGAAGTCATAGATATCTGCCTGCCTTTACCTGCGGAGTGCAGACAGTGAAGGAATATGCCACTATGCCCAGTTTCATTTGGCTTTCAAATAACAAATGAAAAACCTGAACAAATTTAGAATGATGTATAATTGAACCAGACATGCTTTCAGGTGTGGTACCAAGGATTTCTCTAACATTCTTGATAACTTAAAATTAATAGCATATGTTATAGAGAAATGAACATCCTGTAAACTATACATAGGACTTGGAGAAATATTTATGTATAGTAGATAATATGCTAAACTTAGTGTTCTTGTCTTTTTCTTGTTTGAAATGATGCATAGAGTCAATCTAAATATTTTACAGAAAAGATGGTAAGAGGGGATGGGAATGTAGCTCAGGATTAGAATACTTGTCTAGCATGAATGAGGTCCTGGGTTTGATCTTTAGCACCATGAAAGAAAAGTGAATAAAAAGGAAAAAGAATGGAGTATGTATGAAAGGAGAAATTGATATATTTTCATAAATAAGATAGTTTATGTATGATATTCATTTTTAGGATTCAGACCGAAAGAAATGACTATGGCAGTGAAACAGACTTATATGGACTTGTGTCTAACATTTTGGAAGAACAGGATAAGTCACAGCCATATTTTGCTGAAGGGTTAGTATATAAGCTTTATAGTGTATAATGGACCTTTTAATTGACATACTAGGTTACTTGCTGTTTAACATTTATTTTTATTTAATAGTGGATCATAGGATAGTAGGTATTTTCAAATATTTGTTCCTAGGAGCCTTGATTTTGCTGAAGTACTTTCCGTACAATTGGAAGTTCAGCCTAAAGTTTTATTTGTTTAAGAACTTTGATTTTCTTGCATAATTCATAGTTATTTCCCTTGAGTTCATGAGCTAAAGTTTGGCTTAAGGAACATAAGTTCCCAGATGCTTTAAACTTAGACCTGGAAGGATAAAACTCATTACTTATTGCAAAAGTACATATTCATGGAGTAGAGGTTTAAAATGTTGTAATTGTTTTATTTGGGTGTGGAAGCCCTATTGCCCAAGTGCCCTATTAATAAATAAGAAAATATGCCATACATATGTAACCAGTTAAAATTATTTAGTTTCAAGAATATTTTAAGTAGAACACCTTTTTTCATTAAAAATTGTGGTCAACACACTTTATATACTAATCTATTCAATGGAAAAACTTACTATCTGGTTAGTATTAAAAAATTAATGTAAGACCCTAAAGTCTACTCTCAGGCCTTGGTGAATGACTTATGGAAAAGTGTGGTGAAGATATTAAAATTAAAATGCATATAGTCATGCATTGTTTAATGATGGGGACAAGTTCCAAGAAATGCATCATTAAACTGTCATAGGAATAGTGCTTACCCAAAGCTAAATGGTCTAGGCTAATCATTCAGCGTCAATTCTTGATGTAGTCAAAAAACACAGTAACTGTGAAGTGCTCTGAGTGGGTGCACATGTTTGTAATCTCTATTTGGGTTAAGGGTAGGATGCCATCCTAGGCTAGCTACTTAGAGGGTTTAAGCATTTGATGTTGACTTTGCCTGTGTAACAGGCACTCTACAATTATACAAACAAGACAGAGAAATGAGAGACAGTGTAACCATAGAATACACAAGGCTGCTGCTAATGTAATGATTGTTTTTTACAGTAATTTATTTTTAAAAATATAAAGGGGCTGGAAAGATGGCTCGGTGGTTAAGAGTACTTGCTATTCTTCCAAAGAACCCAAGCTCATTTTTTAGCACCCATGTGAGATGGTTCACAATCTTGTATTTCCAGCTTTAGGGGATTTAATTCCTTTAGCCTCAGGAAACTGAACACATATGGACATACCCACATGCAGACACATACACATAAACATAATTAAATATAATAAAAACAAATCTGAAAAATTTAAAAATACTACAGTAGATGCATAAACTAGTGACATAGTCATTATCACCTAGTATATATTACACATAGGTTTCTCTATGGCTTTGGAGGCTGTCCTGAAACTAGCTCTTGTAGACCAGGCTGGCCTCAAACTCACAGAGATCCACCTGCCTCTGCCTCCAGAGTTCTGTGGCTAAAGGCTTGTACTATACCTCTGTGTGGTCTGTTACTATTTCACATTTATTTGGCACACAACTCTTTTATTTTTTTAAGATATATTTATTATATATATACAGTGTTCTGTCTGCATGTATCCCTGCAGGCCAGAAGAGGGCACCAGATCTCATTACAGATAGTTGTGAGCCACCATATTGTTGCTGAGAATTGAACTCATGACCTCTGGAAAAGCAGCCAGTGCTCTTAACTTCTGAGCCATCTCGCCAACCCTTGGAACACAACTCTTAGAGTGGATAGCACATTTCATATGATTGACGTGTTTGAAAGCAGTGGTAGTTTATAAGTAAGGGTTGGGAAAGTTTGGTGAAGTGTTGGGTAAGAGAAGTGGTTTTTTGTTTTGTTTTACTGTTTGTTTTTTTTTTTTTTTAATCTTTCCTAATGTTTTAAGAGGAGATAGTCTCCAAAACTTAATTTATAATTAAATATGTTTACTTGTTCTAGGACCTGCTCCTCCAATTTAAAGTCAGTTTGGCCAATGAACACAAGCAGATTTGTAGATCACCATGACCTCTTAACAGAAACCAAAAGGCCAATAGATACAACTATTTCTCAGCAAGCTTTTTATAGTGGTGAATCTGTGTCAGCAGTGGAAAAGCAATACTTGCATAATAATAATCTCACACCACAACAAAAAATAGATGAACTTTATCATGGATATACTGGTTTAGACCTTGAAGAACAATGGTTATACCTCTCAAGAAGTGATCATTCTAATTGTTACAATATTCAGACAAATGATACAGTTAAGGCAACTTTCCAAGAATATCCATTTATCAAAAACTGTTTTACACCACAAACAGGTCTGTCTGATATCATGAAAGAATCAGGAATTGATACTTACTCTTATGGAAGAGAAAAAATATGTGCTAAAGGTCTTGAAACACCATTACAGCATAAAAGAGCAGAAATATTTCTTTCCCAATTTAATAGATATAATGAAAATGCCGATTATTGTAGATACCCAGAATATGCTCATCCTAATAAGGCAAAACTTAACAAATGTTCAAATTTTAGTGTTCAAGATGGTAAAAAATTAGCCAATGGCACACCTGAAACACCAACTGTGGAGGCAGATGCCTATACGAAGTTATTTCAAGTTAAACCAGCAAATCAGAAAAAAATGGAGGAGACAATACCTGATCAGCAGAATTTTGCATTTCAAAAAACACCACCACATCTGACAGAGAAACAGTTTGCAAAGGAAGCAGCATTCACTACTGATTTTGGCTTAAAATCGGAATATGGACTAAAGCCACACACAGCTTGTCCAGCTAATAATGATTTTGCTAATGTCACTGAAAAGCAACAGTTTGGTAAGCCTGATCCTCTAAACTCTGAATATTTTAAATCAGTGAATTTATTCTCAAATTCAGCAACATCTTCAGGAGGTATCAGTTTAAACAGACCAACTTGGATGAATGTTCAAACAAAAAATAACCTTCCTATTCCTTATCGAAATCAAGGTAACTTGATGAAATTAAATAGTCATTTAACTGCAGCTTCAAAAGGTTCTAACCATTCTTCAGATTTCCCTCAGCTATCATCTACAAATATAACCTCAAATAGCAATTTATTTCAGAAGTATTGCCAAGAAAACCCTTCAGCATTTTCTAGTTTTGATTTTAGTTACAATGGTGCAGAAAGAATTCAATCTGTGAATCACATGGAAGGACTAACAAAAACTGGAGAAGACAACCTCTTTGAATCGGTCACAGAGAAAAAAATAAAGCAGCAGAATGGATTTTGTGATAGCTATTCAGCTTCACAGTATGGGATAATAGAAAATGTAAACAAACATAATTTTCAAGCCAAGCCTCAGAGTGGACATTATGATCCCGAAGACATCCCAAAGCATTTTGATGGGTTACCCCAAAATACATATCAAGATCTATTAGAATCACAGGGTCATTTTAATAGCCACAGACAAGGAAGTGGAGATAGCAATATTAATAGCCGTGTGAATCGCACACAGGCCTCATGCTTTTCTAATAATTATATGATGGGAGATTTAAGACATAATCAGGGTTTTCAACAACTTGGTTCAAATGGGTTTCCCCTAAGATCTACCCACCCATTTGGTCACTCAGTTGTTCCGCTGTTGGATTCCTATGATTTGTTTTCTTATGATGACTTAAGCCATTTATATCCTTATTTTAATGATATGATGTATGGTGATAATTCCTTTTCTGGCTTTGTGCCAACATTTGGATTTCAAAGACCAATTAAAACCCGTAGTGGACCAGCCAGTGAGCTTCATATTCGTCTAGAAGAGTGCTATGAACAATGGAGAGCATTAGAAAAGGAGAGAAAAAAGGTAACAGAACTATCCATCAAGAAGTAACAATATATTCCATCTGCTTGTCTTTGTTTACCTCAATGTAGTTTAAGAATACTTATTTCTAAGCTATACTTTTAAAATTCATTGCTATAAGGACTTAGCTAGGTTATTTAACGATTGAAAGATCAGGGTTTTGAAAGAGTTAGATTCTTTTTAAATTTTCTATGAAGTTTTTTGTTGTTTGCTTGGTTTTTGTTGTTGTTTAGTTTTTTGAGACAGGGTTTCTCTATGTAACTTTGGAGCCTATCCTGGAACTTACTCTGTAGACGAAGCAGGTTTCACAGAGATCCACCTGCCTCTGCCCCCCCCCCCCCACCGAGTGCTGGGATCAAAGTTGTGCGTGCCACCACCTCCTGCTGATTTTCTTCTTTTTTTTTTTTTCCTAAAGATTTTATTTATTTATCATGTATAATGTTCTGTCTGCATGTATGCCTGAATGCCATAAGAGGGCACCAGATCTCATTATAGATGGTTGTGAGCCACCATGTGGTTGCTGGTAATTGAACTCTGAACCTCTGGAAAAGCAGTCAGTGCTCCCAACCTTTAAAGTATATATGTAAGAAAAATATTATAGTATTATGGTTTATGTTTTTGTCTTTTTTTTTTTTTTGAGACAGGGTTTCTCTGCTTAGTCCTGGCTGTCCTGTAAATAAAGTTGGCCTCAAACACAGAGATCCTTCTGCTTCTGCCTTCCAACTGCTGGGATTAAAGGTGACACCACCGTCCAGCTCAGATTTTCATTTTCTAAGTTAGCATATAACTGTGCTTTATTAGTTGCATTTTGATACCAAAACAATTTTATTTAAAGGCAAAATTTTTCTGTTTCTTAAAGCTGTGAAAATGTTTATTTTTTAAAAGTTAGTATCTAAAAATTATATTTTACAGACTGAATTAGCCCTTGCCAAGAATTATCCAGGAAAAAAAGTATCCAGTACTAATAATACTCCAATTCCCAGACTGACTTCGAACCCATCTAGAGTTGATCGCTTAATTGTGGATGAACTTCGAGAACAAGCCAGAGTAAGCTGTAAAAGCATTCAATAATGGTCTTTTTAAAATTACTTGATAAAAATTTAAAGGATTTTGACAAGTTAGAGTTGTCACACATTTACAGTCGTGTGTGATGGCATATGTATGAAACCTCCGCATTTGGATGGTGGAGGCAGGAGGATCAAGGCCATCCTCAGCTATATTAGTGAGTTTGAGGACAAGCTGGGCTCAAAACAAACAAAAAAACACAGTAAAATAACTTACATATAGCTGAAAAGATTCTTTTGTGTGTTTGTGTTTGTATGTGTGTACACACGTGTGTACGCACATGCATGCGTGTATACACATTGCATGTATATATATTGAGATCACAGGTTGACATTGGGTCTCTTCCCCAATTACTTTCCACCTTAGTTTTTTGAGACAGGGTCTCACTGAACCCGAAGCTCACTGATTTACCTAGACTACCTCACTAAAAAAAATGTAGGAGGTATCCTCTTGTCTCTACTGCCTCAGCGCTGGGATTACAGGTGCACACCCTGTATTTGGCTTTTAAAACAGAGAAACAAAAACGTGGGTGCTGGGGATCTGAACTGAGGTTCTGCTTGCTCTGCTAGCATTTAACTGACTGAGCCATCTCCCCAACCCAACTTAAATACATTCATCTTTGGTTCTATAACTATGATGAATATTAGGGAAATAATTCCATTTAGTCTTTGATTTGTAATCATTTAATAAGTAATTTGAGTGGGCTAGAGACAGCTATCAGTCAGTGGTAGACTTATCCCTAACATGTGTGAAGTCTTGAGTTCCATTCTCAGCACCACAACATATTTTTTAGTAATCTAAAGAATCTCACTTCAAACCCATATTGGCAATTAATACCATTGGAAAGAATGCTTTTAAAATCTAATACTTTAAAGTATGTAAAGGTGATTAATGCTGAGGCTGATGACCTGTTTGATCCCTAGAACCCACATGATGGGTGGAAGGAGAGAACCAACTCCTGTAAGTTATCCTCTGATTTTCACATATGGGTCATGCATATGTATGCTCACATGTGTACATAGAAAAACAAATAGATGTAGAAGCTGGAGGATGATTCAGTAGTTATGAGCACGTGCACCCTCATCAGGCAGCACAACCACAAATTCCAGCTACGGGAATCCAGTCCCCTTTTCTGGCTTCCAGGGGCACCTGCATTCACATGCACCTTGTGTACATGCATGTGCACACACACAAATAGATCTTTAAAATGTTAAAACAAAAATTATGACATTTCCATAGTACATCTCACTGCACATTGCTCATTATCTGCCCATTACCTTCTTTGTCCCCTCCTCCTTTAAGTAATTGCTTTTTTTGCTTTTGTCATACATGTTTAAATGTAGATTCCACATGATAAAAAATAAATGTGTCTTTCTTTCCTCCATTACCCTCTTGTCCCTCTCCTATTTAGAAACATAATTTTTAGATTACTGGAGTTTTTGCATACTTTTTTTTATCTATTTACCCCTCAAAGATCTAACTGGTGTACATTAGGAGGAAAATATTTAATACTTGGAACAGACTTGTTAATAATTAGTTCCCAGTGATACTTATTTTACTTAATATTCACATGTTGATTAATCAAAACGTTCTTTAATTTACATTATGTAGATTTTGAAACATGTTAGATGTATTAAACATACTTCCCATACTAATTTAATATACCCAATTACATTTTAGCTTTGCACATGCATGACAGTATGATGTACATGCATAGATATATATGTATGTATATGTATAAGTTTTACATCTGTGGGCACACATGTGAGGGTGTGTGTGTGTGTGTGTGTGTACATACCTGTAGAGTCCAGAGCTTGGTATTCAGTATTGTCCATATATATATATTGAGACAGGGTCTCTGACTTGAACACAAAACTCACCACTTTGACAAATCTAGCTAGCCAGTTTGCACAGGGGATCCTCTCTCTGCCTCTGGAGCATTGGTATTATAGGTAGGTTGCCAAGATTTACATATGAGTGCTGGTGATCTGAACTGTGGTATTTGCACTTGTGTGGCAAGCATTTTATCTAGCAACTAGCCCTGGTACTATCTTTTGTTTGTTTTTGTTTTTGTTTTTTATTTTTGTTGTTGTGTGGTCCATGACCTCCACTCTCCCAAAACAGGGTTTCTCTGTGTAGCCCGGGCAGTCTTGAAACTTGCTTTGTAGACTATGCTGTCCTTGAACTCAGAGACCCACCTGCCTCTGCCTCCCAAATGCTAGGATTAAAAGTACTTTCTAAAAGATTTATGTTTATGAGTGTGCTATCTGCATGTACACCTTTATACCAGAAGAGGACATCAGATCCCACTATAGATGGTTGTGGACCACCATGTGGTTGCTGGGAATTGAACTCAGGATTTGAAGAGCAGCTAGTGCTCTTTCTTAACTGTTGAGCCATCTCTCCAGTCCATCTGGTGCCATTTTTAAAGCTCATTAACAAAAAGATTGGGAACTTTCTTGGGACTGGAGATAATGTAGCTCAGTTGACAGAATGCTTGTGTAGAACATACAAAAAGCCCTAGCACCACATAAGCCAGGTATGGTGGTGTATACCCGTAACCTCAGCACTAAAATCACTACAGATTTTCATTAGCATATAATATATCATTTCAGTGCAAATGCAAATCTGAATTGTCTGTATATGTGGGTGCCTTAAAATTAACAGGTGTGACTGGAGAGATGTGTCAATTGTTAAGAGTGCTTCTTGCTCTTCCATAGAATACAAGTTTGGTTCTTAGTACCCACAATGGGCTGCAGAATTGCCTATAACATAACTTCAGAAGCTCTCATACCCTCTTGTGGCCTCTTCAAGTACACACAGACACACACAGAGACAGACAAGACTGACACATGAGCACACACATCACAAGTGCAAAATCTCTTACAAAGGAACAAACAAAAAAACCCAAACAAAAAACAAAAGTTGTTAGTTACAATGATCTGTTTCTGATAGCGCAGGCCTTTAGTCCCAGCATTCAGGAGGCAGAGGCAGGCAGATCTTTGTGAGTATGAGGCCATCCTGGTCAACAGAGCTAGTTCCAGGACAGGCTCCAAAGCAATACAGAGAAACCCTTTTAAAAATAAAATATTGAAGACCCGGAGAAAGGACTTGTTAATATTAGGATTAGTTAGGAATAGTTCTTGTCCTTCATTTTCCTTTTTTTTTTTTTTTTTTTTTTTTTTTTTTTTTTGAGACAGTATCTTACTATGTAGCTTGGGCTGGTCTGGAAATTGCTATGCGGTCCATGCCTTGAATTTAGAGATCTGCCGGTGTCTGTCTCAGATGCTGGGATTAAGGTGTGTGTCATCAGGCCTAGCTGTACTTGTCCTTTTAACTCAAATTCTCTTTTAGGTGATTCTTATAACAGTCTTCTGTTTATAGACTTGCCAAAAACAATATCAGATCTTATCTTTGCACTGTCAGTGACATGATTGTTTAATGTTTTATTTGTTCATTATTATTTATTCTCAGTAATCAACTACAACTTTTAGAATTAACATACAGAAGCAAGTACAAAGACTTTCCCTTTTCCCCCTAGCATAGTGCATTTGTTTATTTACTGAACGATTATTGTTGCTCTCATCTCTACTATGTTTCATTAAAGATTTGTTTGCCTTATCAAAATTTAAATGTTTCCTCAGGTTGTGACTTTACTAGGCAAAATGGAACGTCTTCGAAGCTCTCCCCTTCATGCTAATATATCTACTGCTCTTGATAGACACTTGGAGTCGATTCACATTGTACAGTCACGTAGAAAGGATGAAATTGTTAATGCTTCAAATCGGCAAAGACAAGGAGTGCCTAGGTGCCAAGATGACAGAGGTATAAATGTTTTGGATTTTGTTTGTTTATAGTTTATGTATGAATGTTCTCCATGTATACCTGCATATCAGAAGAGGGCATCATATCCTATTATATATAGTTGTGAACTACTATGTGGTTGCTGGGAATTGAACTCAGGACCTCTGGAAGAGCAGTCAGAGCTCTTAACTGCTGAGCCATTTCTCCAGCCCAAAAGACTAGATTCCTAAAATTAGTACTTACTAAAAACAAATTAGCAAATGATTAGCACATTATTTATTCACAAAGTATTTTGTTCTTTTTTGTTAATTTTATGCACTTAATTATAATAACTGTCTTAAGATAGACTCTTTTATCAAAGCATACTTACTACTATATTTTAGAAAATAAAGTACTTCATTAGCTTAGCTATCATTTTTGTAAAAAAAATGTTATCATTCAGTAACAATAGAACTGAGTTGCTTAAGATGTAATGGGTATTTAAATGAATAATAAGCAATAACCCTATTTATTTTGCAGATGTTTTTGCTCTTGCTACAGCAATTAAAGAGATGTGTGTAGCTACTCGGAAAGCACGCACCACCCTATGGTGTGCACTGCAGATGACCTTGCCAAAAACAGCAAGTACATCGGGCCAAGCCGATATGGAAAAGGCTTTCCAAGAGCTAGTAAACTGTGAAGATAAAGTCCATGAAAGCATAAATAGTAGCAATCCAATGAACCAGAGAGGTGAAACAAATAAACATTAAGGAGATGACAGCAGAAGGAAGAGTTAAGATGACAGCAGAAGGAAGAGTTAAAAAGCTGAGAAGTAAATGTATCAAGATGTTCTAAAATTTTTAATGAACTTGTCAAACATTCAGTACATTAATTTTCTTTCAGATTTGAAGTTAATACTTCAATGAAGTCTAACTTCTATTTAAAAATCTGCTTGGAATGAATCAGATACAGTTTAAAGTGAACTCAAAGGTAAAATTGATTACTCTAGGAGGTCTGAGTAGTCAAAGATAGCAAGTTTATTTAATTAAATATCCCCTTACAGCTAAAAATTGCTTAAATCCATTCTTCAGTGCAGGTAAATGCAAATGTGAAATTCTTCTAGGAGATAAGTTTCATTTAGTTCTGCCTTAGTAAGTATAATTCCAAATAATGAGTCTAAGTGACTGTAACCCAATTATGGCTACAGTTTAGTAACCAAGACAAGTTTTGATTGTGATTTAAAAGTATTTTCCTTACAAAACTGGATAATACCTAGGAAACAAAGGAAAACAAGGATAAACCCAATATTCATGTAAAAATTTAATATTTAAAATACTACCATATTTATGAATTTGAAATCTTAGTGCCTAAGAATATGGAGGGAAATGCATCTGATTCTCCTAAATTAGTGATGAAAGTGCCAGTGTGAAAACCATGCAAGTTACTGAATATAAAACCTGTTCAAATCATTAGTGTATATTCTTTAAATTTTAATTATACTATCAATTATTAAATATTTCCAATTCCAAAGAATTTAATTGAATCAAAATAAAACATTCCTTTATCTGGATCTTTTAGACTCGATGCCTAGTAACTAAAATAATGACTCGTTTTAATACCCTTAGTTTGCTGTCTTTGACGAGGGTATCACGAAGTTCTAAAATGTATTTTTTAGGTTAATCTTTAGTTTAGTTTTGCCAATTAGTTAGTGTATATTTTGTGTAGTTATGTTCATTTGTTTGCTTCTGTATTTTTTAAAAAAGAACACTTGAAAGCTTGGCTTTTTGTTTCTCATCACTTAATATCTTTGTATTAGAACCCGAATAATTTATTCATTAATATGAAATGTTGGTATTATGTGACTCAGAAGATCTTGGGTTTTAAAGTTTCTAGCATGAGTTAAACTATAATATAATGTACTGATGAAATTTAATTGAAATATCCTTGACTAGAAACACTGATGTTTTTGATGTTAGTGTTTTTTCTTAGCTTTAGAAATCCTGGTATTAAAAAAAAAAAAGAGTGTAATCACACCACATAAATTTTCTTTAGATGATGTGCGGAAGAAACTGATTTAAGAATGCAGGAGTAACTGTAGGGAGAAACATTTTGATCACTGATATGCTTAGAACTACCAAATGAATTACATTGAGGGTAGTCAAATAAAATAGACCACTCCACCACAGTCACTGCATAGAAAGTGGTTAAGTTGGACATAAAACATGTTGAATGTTATGGAAACAAATATTGTACTGAATTTAGTCTCTCAGGAAAAAAATAAATTACTTTGTTGAAAATATTTGGTTTCATTTTTTTTACATTTGTGTTAATTTCTAACATTGTGTTATATATGTCTGAAAATCAAATGAATTTGATAGGATAAGAGCCTTTCTGGTGTAAATTTCATTATTAACACATAAGTTTATTGGTAGATGATTGTGATTCAGATTAGATTCCACCTGACCTTTTTCAAAGATGAAACTGACATTGCCTTGTTGAATAGAAACCATTATAGGACAGTGGGCACAAGTAATATACCAGTCTGTTAAGGAAAACCAAACCCTGGGCTGGGATAAAGTTCAGTTGGGTGAATGCTTACAGAGTGTGCAGGAGACAGTGGGTTGCTCCTGGGCACTGTATAAAACCATGTGTGGTGCATGCCTATAACCCAGCATTAATGGATTGAGGGCAGGAGGATCAGAAAGTCAAAGCTATCATCAGTAACATTTTTGAGGCTAGGTTTAGCACTTGGGATAGTGAGTTGGGAAGTGGAGGCAGGAGAATCAGCTAAACAACACAGGCCAGCTGGGTGTATATTGTCACAAACAAGACCTTTAAAATTTGCTTTAGTATCATTTTCTATAGTATAGATCAATGGTTCTTAACCTCTGGCTCCCCACAGGCAAATCTCTATCTCCAAAAAGTATTTACATTACTATGCTTAACAATAGAGTTATAAAATAGCAACAAAAATAATTTTATGGATGGGGGTCAGCACAACATGAGGAACTGCATTAAAGGGTTGCAGCATTAGGAACGTTGAGATTCACAGGTAAAAGAGGTTCTTTGCCTGTTTCCTAGCTGTCCTGGAACTTGTTATGTGAGCCTTAGGCTTGCAGTGATCCTGCTGTTCCTGCCTCCCCAGTGCTGGCATTAACAGGCATGTACCACTACATCCTGCTAGATGGTTCTTACATACTAATAAATTGCAGCTTACAAAAATATTTAAAATTATCACACAAAACCTGCAGTAAAACAGGTAAAGGCGCTTTCTAATTCAAAGGATTATCTGGTTTCCTTTTCAATTTGTGTGCACATGCACACACATGCCACAGTGGGTGTGGGAATCAGATAGTCTCTCCTGGAAATTGAACTCATCAGGATTGGTAGCACATGCCTTTACCCTCTCAACTAACCTAGCCCATGTTTTTACTTTTTCTTTAAAATATTATGTATATATCTCTGTGTTAGTAAGTATAAACACATAGAATAAAGGAAGTGTTTTTTAATTAGATGGAGACACCACAAATTTATATAAAGGTATTTGAAAATTATCTTAAGTCATCCTATTAGTATCCTTTCCATTTGAATAAGTGGTTACAAAAAAGTTTTTGAGGAGTTACTATTATGATTAAAAATCCCATTGGGGGCTGGAGAGATGACTCAGCCATTAAGAGCACTGATGCTCTTCAGAGTATTTGATTCCAGATTTGATTCCCAGCACCTATAAGGTGGCTCATAGCCACCTGTACCTCCAATCCCAGGGAATGCCACGCCCCTCTTCTGGCTTCCAATGGCAATGCATGCACATATGCAGGTAAACACATAAAAAACACATGCACCCACACACATAAAAAAATAATTTTAGCTGGGTTGTGGTGGCACATACTTTTAATCCCAGCACCCGGGAAGCAGAGGCCAGCCTGGTCTACAGCCAAGGCCACACAAAGAGACTCTGTCTTGAAAAAAACAAAATAAAAATAGTATCTGTTAAGTGAATAACCTTACCAAAGCCTAATGACTGGATTGGTATTTAAGATTAGTTGGATGTACACTATAACTATAGAGTTCCAGAAGAACTGGTTGTTAACTGGGTGTGTTGACACATGCCTATAATACCTGCAGCTGGGTGACTGATGCAAGGTCAGGAATTCAAAGGTAACAGGTTACAAAGCAAGAGGCAGCCCAGGCTAGGCAAGATCCTGTCTCAAAAACAAAACAAACAAACAAACAAACAAAAAATCCTAGAAAATTGAAATAAATACCCTTAAAGGATGGATATAATCTTGACTCCTTCAGAAGCCAAAATAAAGGTGAAAAGGAAGTCCCAAAGTACTGTGGTTTTCTGCTGCCACCACATAAAGGATGAAGACCAGCAGTGCCTCACAGGACTTCAAAGCCAACTTACACAAGCTCCAAAACACAGGATAAGCCTCTGAGCTAATCTTTACTCCACAGGAAACTTGGAAACAATTTAATAGAGAATATGCTTACAAGGCTAACCAGACGATAAAGATCATTCCAAGGGACCAATCTCATGTACCTTTCCACCAGCAGTTGGAAAAAACAAGACAGACAACACTGATTTAAATAGTTTATTTTAAAAAAGAAAAGGGTGGTTATTTTTGCAGTGCCATGGTTGTAGGATAAAGAGGCAGCATTATCTCCCTTCCTTAACCATGTTTGTTTTTTCTTCTGCACAAAGGTAGCTAATGATACAAAAACAAGTCAGAAGACTCTCCAAATACTAGTAAGTACTAAGTTTTATAGGCCACATATGGTCTCAATCATGAATGTCTTTCTTTTATAACCTTTTAAAAATGTAAAAAAACCATTTTAGTTTGCCCCGTACAAAAAAAGACTGGGCCAAACTTGGCCTGTGAGTGGTAGTCTTCTAACCCCTGGTATAAAATATCTACTGTATCTTGTTAGAGAAATTGTTCTCTTGAGGCTTTTGATAGCTGTTGCCAAAGTCAAGTAAAGAAGGACTTGATTTACAGCTGGGCATGGCTGTGACAGGACTGGAGTGTCTGCCCGCCCTTGACTCTCAGTTTGTCCACTCACTCATTCATAGGCTTGTTAACCACCAACTATATATCTTGTGTTAGCAAAATTTCCAGTGTTTTTCTCTAAAAGAGTAATTCCTTCGGTTTCTCCAAACCAGGAATTATTAGGTCTTAGTACTCATGTTGCAGGTGTGTCTAACATGTGGCTGAGGGTAGCTGTAAATTCAGCCTAACACAAAATCATAAACTTACTTTAAAAACATGATTTTTTTGCAAGTTTTAAAAAAAAGTTATGCCACAATATTAAAAAATTGGACATACCTGCAGAATAAATCAAGAATAAAATCAAGAGGGGATTCAAGGAAACTAAGTGATAACCTTATATCTCAAACCAACACATCCTTCTTAAGTCATAGACTAATGAAAAGTATGTAGTTCTCTATTTTAAAGATACTTGATTCTCCCATACATTAAGTTTGTCTTCAGTACTGGGGATCAATCCCAGGGCCTTATGTGCAAAGAAGGCACTCAACCCAGCTACAGCTGAAGCCTAGATCTATCACACCCCAAATACCACCTTCCACTTTCCTAACCTGTTATATAAAATCTGAATCTAGGTAGGGTTCTTCATTAGCTATTTCGGCCATAAAATACTGCTACTACAAGTCATAATCCTAAGGCTGAGAAACTGAGGCAAGGGCACTGAACCGAGTTCAAGGCCAGCCTAGATTACAGAATGAAACCCTGTTTCAAAACAAAAACCCACTACATTTTGAGGCGAATATTGCCACAGGAGCAATTTGCACTTTTTCCTTCTCTTTTTTTTTTTTTTTTTTTTTTTTTTAAATCTCAGAAGGAATGATCATGTTTCCTTCAGGATGTTAGCTTTCTGAATCTGGCTAATTATACAAAGTGAGGGAAGACCTTTTTTAAAAAAGCCAGAAGAGCACAGGATTTCAGTACTAAAATAGAAAGGTTACCCTAATTCCAGATCTTTGGTAAAGATACTAACTAGAATTGATTGCCCACACCACCAAACATGGCACATTTTGTAGTTACAAGTGATTGTGATTTTCCTTTTGAACATGTAAACAGAGGGGGAAAGCCTTAGGAAATTTGGGGAAATGCATTAGTCTCAGTCCTCTTAAATATGCAGATGCACAATCAATTCGCGGGTGGAAGGAACAGAGTGGGCCGAGGTTATCGCTTGCGTTCCCCCCTCTGTGTCCTTTTCTTTTCTTTCTCCTTGCGCTCCTGCTTGGCTAGTTTGTCCTTCTCCCTCTGCAGCTTGTCCTGTTCCTTCTTCCTTTGGGACTCATCCCGAAGAGAGTCTCGCTCCAGTTTCCGAGCATTGAGAACATCTTCCACGTTGGTGTTTCGGAACAGAGCTACCAGTGAGTCAAGGAATTAAGGTACATATCCTACAGGCAATAACCCTGCAGTTCCCCCACTCCATACGCCCATTCTCTACACAGAGTTCTAAATGCACTCTTAAGTATTCCTAGTATAAAAAGAAGAAGCTTTGGTTTGGGCAAGAGAAATGGCTCAGTGATCATAAGCACTTGCTCTAACAGAGGTTCATTCCCAGGCAATAGCTCACTCATACCCACGCATAACTCCAGTTCCAGGGGATCTAGCCTCTGTGGATCTTAGGTCTACAAAATGAGTTCCAGGACAGCCAAAACTATTTCACAGAGAAACAGCTTTGAAGATAAGTCTTCAAAAGCTAAACCAAAAAAATCTCATTTGGACAAGTAAACCTGAACTTTGAAATATTTTATAAAAATGGGTTTCATTTACAAGGACATTTAAAAAATACAAATAAAGTTTATACTTACAACTAAAGAAAATAAAATCTCACTCCAAACTAAGTACAAATTGTCTTCTATAGCAGAATACAGCTGCTGAGCCTAGGGTAAGTCAATAAAAACAATAATACTGCTGCTGGAGAAATGCTATGCACTTGGCACTATTAAAATGCTTTCAAAGGTTTATTCTTAGTGAATTCTGTTAATTTGACCTTTTTTCTATAGAGTTTAAGTGAAAAACCATGTTATATTGTCAACACTGAACTTATAAGACATAAAATTAAGTTTAACAAAAGTTATAAAACAGCAAAAACTTTATTCCTTATTTCTTCTAACTTTAAAAACAAAATATAAGGAGCTGCAGAGATGACTCAGCAGTTAAGAGCACTAACTGCTCTTCTAGAAGACCAGGGTTCAATCCCCAGAATCTACATCGTGGTTCACAACCATCTGTAACTCCAGTTCCAAGGGATCTGATGCCCTCTTCTGGCCTCTGGGGGCATCAAGCACACACATGGTATACATACATACATACATACATACATACATACATAAGCATACATATGGTATACATACATACTTACATTCATACATTCATACATACAGACACTAAAAAAATAAAACCTACTAGGCATTCTCTTCTATACTCTTGAAGTGTGATGTTTTTCTACATCAGGCTATAAAATACATGAGTCTCAGGCTGAGAAGAGAGCTCAGCAACCGAGTCCTTACCTAAGCACACCCAAGGCCCTGGGCCAATCCCTCACACTAGAAACAAATTCCTGAGAAAATATCTGATAACCCACTTTAACCCTTCACCTAGGAGGTGAATTCTAAATTTACCTTCTTAAGAAATATCTAAGACTTATTAATGGGGACCTTCATCAACACACATTTCAGTACTGATTGTACTTTCAGCTTTAAGTATTTAGTATCTGTGTTTTCTTTCCAATTACAAGGTCTTTGAAAATAAAGATAAAACTTAAACATTTTTATTCTCTCCTCTTCCCCCAGTCCTGGGCAATTCAGAGCTGCAGAGAATATACTTTTTTTTTTTTTTTTTTTGGTTTTTTAAAACAGGGTTTCTCTGTGTAGCCCTTGCTGTCTTGGAACTCACTCTGTAGACCAGGCTGGCCTCAAACTCACAGAGATCCTCCTGCCTCTGCCTCCTGAGTGCTGGGATTAAAGGTGTGTGCCACCACTTTGAGGTGGGAATATAACTTTTTATTTTTTCTTAGAAATCCTCTAGTTAGCCAGGAGGTAGTGCCCTTTAATCCCAGCACTCAAAAACAACCAAAAAGAAAAAAGAAATCCTTCTAGCTGGGTGTAGTAGCTCATGTTTTACAGGAGGTAAAAGCAATTCAAGGACAGCCTCCAACACAGCCAATTTGAGTTTAACCTGGGCTAAAAGAGACTTTTATTTCAAAAAGACAAAATCAAGCCAGGTGGGGTCCAGTGTGGTGACCCATGACTTTAATCCCAGCACTCAGGGGAGGCAGAGACAGGTGATCTCTGAGAGTTTCAGACCACCCAGGACTACGGAGAAACTCTGTCTCAAAAAAAAAAAAAAAAAAAAAAAAAAAAAGCAAAAGGCGAGAAGCCAGGTGTGGGTGTGCATTCCTTTAAGCACAGCACTCAAGCGAAAGAGACATGCAGATCTCTGTGAGTTCAAGGCAAGCCTGGTCCATCTAGAGAGTTTCAGGCTAGCCAGGACTAGAGTAAGATCCTGTTTCCCAAACAAACATACAGAACAAAACCCCCATCTACTTTGTTAGGTGTGGCACACACTTTTAATCACAGCACTTGGAGGTGGAGGCAGAGACTAGAAATTCAAAGTCATCCTTGAAAATTGGCGGCTAACACCCAGTGTGTGTGAACTTACTTTCTTTGGGTAGAGTGTTTGCTAAATTAACTATCCAGGGCTGTGCTAGGAACAGGGCTCCTACTACTGGCATGACATGACATCCTTGGAGAAAAACAAGGCATGGACAAAGAGAAGGATACATTTGTCAGACGCGATGTTTGTTGAGGCACCGGGATCATCTTTCTCATCTGCTTCGGTGAGTGATGTTAAGGAAAACCAGGTGGGAAAAGGCCTTACACATCTCAAATGGAGTTTGAAGAACAGACAGTAGACATGGGTAAGGAAAGCAAGCTGAGTGCAATGAGAACAGCATCATGGATGTAAAGGTAAACCCAGGAGACTCATTTCTGAAAATCTTAGCTTAGAGGAAATGTCTCAGGCTTCTGTAAGATTCACTCATAGAGCCAGGTGGTGGTGGCTTTAGTCCTAGCACTCAGGAGGCAGAGGTAGGCGGATCTCTCTGAGTTCAAGACCAGTCTCCAAAAGTTCCAAGACAACTTCCAAAGCCACAGAGAAACTCTGTCTTAAAAAACAAAACAAAACAAAACAAAAAAAAAAAAAAAAAAAAAAAAGACTCACTCCTGAATACTAAAGACCCTACATTAATATTAACCTAAAAGCAGCATAGCTCCAACACTAGGGATGTGGAGCCAGGAAGATTCTCAAAGAAAGTTCAATACCATCTGGGCAGAATGAGAACATGCATGCATACACACACCCATGCATGAACACATATATGCATGCATTCATGCACATGCACTTACTTACACACACACACTGTAATTCTCAGAGCTTCCAGGAACTTTCAAGAAGTTCACATCCATGGATTCTTATCTTGAGCCTACTTCATATCAGAAACTCAGGAAAAGCCCAGAAATCTGTGTTTTAACCTCAGGATAGCTCATGCTTTAAAAGTCTTTTTTTGGAAGCCAGACATGGTGATACATGCCTTTTGAGTTGAGTGACAGAAGGCGGGAGTTAGGTGGATTTCTGAGTTTGAGGCCAGCCTGATCTATACAATGAGACTCTGTCTCTAAAAAAAAAGTTGGTTTTGGAAGTGGGATACAACACTGTATATAAAAGTATTTGTGATGGTCCATCTTGACTGTCAGCTTGATGAGAGTTACCATGGAGACAAACCTCTGGTGCATCTGTAATGAAGTTTTTAGATTAACCCTGAATATGGGAGGCAACCTTGCCTAGGGCCGAGTCCCAGACTAAACAAAAGGGGATGCTGGTTGATGGCAGCAATGGTTTCTCTTTGCCTCCTGACTGTGATGGCAATGTGACCAGCTGCTGCCTGCTGCCACCATGCCCTCCCTACCATGATGGAGGGCATCAGTTCAAACTGTGAGCCAAAGTAACCATTGCCTTCTTTCTTCTTTGTACTTTGTAATAGCAGTAAGTAATACAGTGTCACACAGTGCAAGGAATCACAGCACTTTCTTATTCTAGAAACAATACAGTCCGGTAAAGGCATTGTTTGTTTTCTGGAGCGTACCAGTTATGTGATGAAGATATAAGTTCCGTATCAACTATTTTAACATCATTTTTGTGTTGTTATTTTGTGTTTTGTTTTTAGACAAAGGGTTTCTCTGTGTAGCCTTGGCTGTCCTGAACTCACTCTGTAGACCAGGCTGACCTGGAACCCACAGAGATCCGCCTCCCTCTGGCTCTAGAGCACTGGGATTAAGGCGGTGCCACCACCGCCCAGCACATGTTTTTTTTTTTTTTGTTTTTTTTTTAACCCACAAAGGCCCAGAATCACTGACATTCTGAAAAAGAAACCTAAGCTGGAAAGGGGGTTGTGACTTCTGCAGGGTGATGTAGACTGTCTAACCTTTCTAGCATGAGCCTGGGAAAATGGTGCAGAGCCTCCAAAAAGGATATTCCTCTTCGTCTGTCACATCTGCATACTGGGCCAGCAGGGCTGCTTTCCTCTGCCTCTCTTCTTCAGAAACCATCCTGGGCTTCACCACGATCTGTGCCTGCTTCTCAATCAAGGTGGCAATGGCCTGGACTTCATCTGTGAGGCAGATGGAGGGGGGCACAGGAGAGGTGTGAACAAAGACACGCCCCCAAATCTAACCCAGCTAGTCAGTACTGGTACCTGAGGACAGTTCTCTCCTTTATGTGCTCCCAGGGATGGAACCTGGGACACCAGGCTTGTGCAACAGGCACCTTCACTTGTTGAGACATCTCACCTGCTCTAGAGGAACTTTTTGTTTGTGTTGTTTTGTTTTTCGAGACTGGGCTTCCTCTGTTATTTTGGAGCCTGTCCTGGAACTAGCTCTGTAGACCAGACTAGCCTTGAAATAGAGGAACTTAAAAAAACAAACAACAAAAAAACACTAATGCCTGGGGCTAGAGATGGCTCAGTTGTTTACGAGTGCTTGCAAAGGACCTGGGTTTAGTTCCCAGCATCCACATAGGTGCTTGAGCTTGAGGAGATCCAATGCCTCTGTGGGTACCTCCACTCAAATGCACATACCCACACACAGACAAATACACAAATGCACATTAAAATAAAAAAAAAAAGTTGACCTTAAAAAACCCAACTTTTAATTTCATGTCTTTTTAAAAAATTACTTTTTTCATGTGCACAGGTATTTTGCCTGCACACATGTCTGTATGAGGGTCCAAGATCCTCTGGAACTGGAGTTACAGGCAGTTGTGAGTTGTTGTGTGGGTGCTGGGAATTGAACCGGGGACCTCTAGAAGAGCAGTCAGTGCTCTTAACTACCAAGCCATCTCCCCAGCCCTTAATTCCATAACTTTATTATAGCAACACCAAGGAAAGACAAAACAAAACACAAATACCTGGGCCCCAAACCAAGTATATCATGTGATTCTATTGTATACTCAAGACTGAGGAGTATCAGTACATACCCACCACCACTACCCCCACCACCACAGGGTTTCTCTGTGTAGCCCTGGCTGTCCTGGAACTCACTCTATAGACTAAGCTGGCCTTGAACTCACAGAGATCCACCTGCCTCAACAGTATATAATTTAGTTTAGACTCTTTACAAGTTTGGCTTCTGTGTAGCTAATTTACCATCCTAATGTACATATAAACCCATTTCTCTTTCATTTTCACAGCCAAAAGAAGCAGAACCTCAACCAAAAATTATGCTATGTAATGAGAATATGAAAAATGTGGATGAGCAATTGGCACGGCTCAGTGGCTGAAGAAGGCTCCTGCCTTTAAAACTTGTCAACTTGAGTTCAGAAGACTACAGCTGACCCCATATGTGTGATACAAATCTACTAGGGGCATAGGATGGGAGGAAAAGTAAAAACCAAAATGATGCAGGTACTGTGGTCACATCTGTAGCTCTTAGGAGGCTGAGGCAAAAGAGTTAGAAACACAAGGCAAGCTGGGGGCTACATAAAGAGTTCCAGCCATGCTGGGTCATGGTGGAACATGCCTTTAATCTTAGTGCTCAGGAGGCAGAGGCTGAGTTCAAGGCCAGACTGGTCTACAAAGTGAGTTCCAGGACAGCCAGGGCTACATAAACCCTGTCTTAAAAAAAAAAAAAAAAGAAAGAAAAAGAAAAGAAAAAAAGGCAGGACAGTGGTGGCACAGGCCTTTAAACCCAGCACTTAGGAGGCAGAGGAAGGCAGATCTCTGAGTTTGAGACCAGCCTGGTCTACTAGAGCTAGTTCCAAGACAGTCTTCAAAGCTCTGTCTCAAAAAAACTGAAAAGAAATAAAAAACAAACAAAAAACAAAACAAAAGAAAAAACCCAAAACCAAATAAGGGCTGGCTAGTGGTGGCACACGCCTTTAATCCTAGCACTCAGGAGGCAGAGGCAGGAGGATCTCTGTGGGTTCGAGGCCAGTCTGGTTTAGTGTGCCAGGACAGGCTCCAAAGCTACACAGAGAAACTCTGTCTTGAAGAATAAAAACAAACAAACAAACAAAAAAAAAAAACGAGTCTGGGCTATTCACAGTGAGATTTTGTTTAAAAACAAAACAAAAAACAAAGAAATACACATCCATACCACAGTGAAGATGAGTGTGGTCAGGGTGGATTGAAAAGACACGAAAGCAAACCCATAATTGGTAAAACCTAGAGATATACCTTAGGAAGAGTGAGTACCCAAAGAAGAAAATAAAACTCTCACTTCTTAACAGCTGCCCTGGGGATTGGATCCAAAACAGTAACTGAGACCAGTGAGATGGCTTGGTAAGTAGAGGCACTCTTGGCCATCCTCCTGGTCTGAATTTGATCCCTATGACCCACAAGGTGGAAAGACAGATAGATCCAAACCCTGGAAGTTGTCTTGACCCCCATACAGCTCAGGAATACGCACACAGGCACATAACATGTACACACTCACACTACATACACACTACACACATCACACAGTTTATATAGAAGAATTAAGTGTTTTTTTTTTTTTTTTTTAAAGGCCAACTCTACCTTCTTTTTCTACTTTGGTGGTAACATTTTGTGTTTCTGACCATCGTTCCACAATTTCCTTACAGTTATCAAGGAGGGAATCTTCTTCCTAGTTGGAAAAGCATAACAGTTAATTTCCTGAAAAGCTTTTAAAACCAGCAGCAAGCCAATGAAGTCATGTGTAGAACCCTGCTCTTCCCACTGGGAACAAGAAGGAACCCTGAGAGGACTCAGGCCCCAGAAGAGTGTGCTTCTCATTGGAGTAATCTTGAGTGTCCCAGAACTCATCCTGATGCTAACTTAGGGACTTAGGGTAGCCCTCCTCATTCTTCTTCTTCTTCTTTTTTAAGATTCATATATACACACATGCATGCCTGCAGTCCAGAAGAGGACACCAGATCTCAAATTGAACTAGTGTACAGAGCAAGTTCCAGGACAGCAGGACAGCTGGGGCTGTTACGCAGAGAAACCCTGTCTCAAAAAACAAAAAGCAAAAACATTTCTCTGCAGAGACCATATTGTCTGTAGAGACGCTCTCAACTACTTCATGACCAGAAACCCCTGCCACACTACAATTCCTGGCAGTCCTTCCCAGAGACAGTTTACACATAGATGAGCTCTCAGAGGGGGAAATCACCCTTAAAATGATCTTGTCTCTGCAGTTTATACAAGAGACAGCTAAGAACAAACAGGTGTCTTGATAATGTTCTGTCTTCTACCAAGAGTTTAGAACAAGCACTTACTTCTCCTTAGCAACAGACATAGACTCCATTAGTGTTCGCCATGGAAAAATACTAAGTACCAAACTCAACTTCTTCCCAGAGTCCTTAGAAACCTCACAGCTGCAAAAAAAACCTCAAAGCCCTTGCCTTCTATTCTTTCTTCTTATAATTTGCAATTCAGGGTGGAAGGGAAGAATTTACTGTGCTGTATTCTCACTGAGCCTCCAAGCTGCCTTACTAAGTCCCCTTAGCTCTTTTCCATTTATAGACCAAGGTTTCTTTGCCATGGGAGCGGGGACAGCTGCAGCGTTATATTTCCAGTATGTCCTCATCAGTGAACTGAACTTTAGGGTATGCCTCTAGCATGTGCCCCACATCCAAATATTACTTTTAGGTTTGAAAACAAAAACCCTGCCTTCTATCTGTCAATATAAAGAATGTACGTGCATATTTGTATCTAGACCACCATAACTTTTGACTCTTAGTAGTCCTTGAATATTGACCTTAAGAGCAACAGATGAAGCCATTCTCCAAATCTGCTCATTGAGACAGACATCGAAGAACAAAGCCTTTGATGAGATGGAGACTCTCATAGTAGCAGTTTGGTTTTCAAGAGCTCCCCTAAACCTTATGTGAGGATAACAATTTCTATGGTATTTAGTGAAGACATGGCAAATTTTACTTTTAAGCTGATCATATTTATTTCTTAGGTTTTTATTTATTTTATGTATTATGAGTGTTCTGCATGTATGTCTGTTTACCATACGCATGCCTGTGACCCATAGAGGTCACAAGAGGGCATCTGATTCTTTGAAGCTAGAATTATAGATGATTGTGAGTCACCAAGTGGGTATTGGGAATGGAACTCAGTTCCTTTGTAAGAGTATCAAGTGCTCTTAACCACTGAGCCATCTCTCTAGAAAAGACTGCAGGACAGTCATAGACAACACATGTAGGAAATCTAATCTAACCTAATTAACTGTCTCTGTTGGGAGTGACACAAGTTGGAATGAACTCCAACACAAGTTGGAGTGAACAAATGATCAGTATGGAAAAGTGGGCATCCTGGTCACCTGATACATAAAAATAGCTTGAAAGTACAAATTTGTGAATTAGTGAATCTGCCTGCTATGTTTTTCTAGGGTCTCACTTTGTAAGCCCGAAGTTAGCCTCCAACTTGCTGTCCTCCTCAGTGTTGGGATAACAGACATGCATCATGGTACATATGGCATCAATCTGCTTTTGGATTTTTGAAACAGTGTTTCTCTGTGCCCTGGCTATCCTGAACTCACTATGTAGACCGCAAAACATTGCCTGCCTCTGCCTCCTGAGACCTGGGAGTAAAGGCGTGCATCACCACGCCCAGCCCATTAATCTGCTTCTCAAAGGCTAAATACCTTATCTGCTTTTCCAATCTGTCTCATCACACCACCCACCCAACAACCATCAATAATTACTGAGTTTCCAAGTCCTGCTTATCATGAAAGATCTTCCCCTACCAGCTTACCTTTGGAGGACTCATATCTGAAATAGAGCCAAGAGGAAAGTTCCTACTGGCTTTCGTCATGGGACAGCCCTAAGACTACCCACTGATGGGCAGACATCTCAAGAGCATTTTATTCCCTTCTCTAAACGCTGCAAACGGATGGCAATGGAACTGTTAGACGTTTATGATCAAACTGTCATTCACACATCTCAATGGCTTCAGAACACTATCTAGCACACCCAAAGGCACCCAGGGAGCCTTGTTGCCAGGAACACGGGAATCCCATTTCTCACTAAGCACCTGCAACCTTCAGACTTCCCAAAATCTGGCTGGGGAGCAGCAACCCACTTCCCCCTCAGAGTAAACTTCTTACTGATAAATCCACTAAGCCTTCGTGACAGCAACAGGAGAAGAGCGATGTGAAGTATGGCAGAGGTTCCCAGATGTCTCAGTAAGGTTGGTGGAATGTGTCCCGATTACTCTACTCACCAGGAAAGCAGAAAGGATACCCTGCAGGGCGTCCAGCTTCTCTTCCTCCTCCTCCTCCTGGAGGACACCAAGAATGTAAGTGCCATACACGGCTCGGTCCACTCCCAGCGCCTCCAACCGTCCGTCCAGCCAGGATCCAAAACCCCCGCCATCGCCTTCACCGAGGACTGCCGCGGCCACTTCGCTGGGCGCCGCCATGCTGGGGACAGGGTCCTCCCGGACCCGGAGGTGCCTACCGCAGTGCCTGACGGGCCGCGCCACTGGCCCAGCGCGCATGCCTGGAGAGGGAGCCCCCACCCCCGCGCGCCGGGCTGCGGGAATGATCCAGGAAGGCTTGCGGCACTCTTCAAGGCCTGAGGGTGGATCCTTGGACCCCTGCACTCCCAGCAGGTGAGTACTTCACTGACTGGAGAGAGTTGGCAATGATCAGATTCAGTGTCCCGGTCAGCCACTCTAGGGAGAGCTCAAAGGAGTGGTGCACGCACGGATTCCAGCGCTTCTGCGAGCACTTGTGGAATGTGAAGCTAGCATGCCCGGACCATGACCGAGAGCAACTTGGGGAGAAAAAGATTTATTTCAGCTTCCACTCTCAGGTCACATGACCAGCACTGAGGGGAAATCCCAGGTTCGCAGGGCAGGAACCTGGAAGCAGGAGTCAGGGAATGTGACCGATTAGTGCCTTGTTCCTCATAATTTGCTCATCTCTCTCTCTCTCTCTCTCTCTCTCTCTCTCTCTCTCTCTCTCTCTCCCCCTCTTCCTCTCCCTCTCTCTTTCCCTCTGCCCCTCTCTCCCACTCTGCCTCTCTCTCTCTCTTTTCATGGTTTTCGAGACAGGGTTTCTCTGTGGCTTTAGAAGCTGCCCTGGAACTCACTCTGTAGACCAGGCTGGCCTCGAACTCAGAGATCCTCTGCCTCCCAAGTGCTGGGATTAAAGGCATGCACCACCACTGCCTGGCCTCAGCTCATCTACCCAGGAGAGACACCACCCACAAGAGGTTGGGCCCTGCCACATCAATCACTAACCAATAAAATGTCTCACAGGCCAGTCTTGTAGGGGACATTTTCTTAATTGAAGTTCCCTCTTCCCAAATCACTCTAGCATGTGTCAAGTTGACAGACAATAGGCAGCACAAGAAACTTACTTTGTCCTCTGCCAGGTTTTCATGAAGTATTTGTTTCGATCTTTCCAATGACCCTTTGAGGAGATGCATATTTTATGTTCAGTTAAAAGATAAGGAAATGCTGGTGGTGGCAGATGGCTTTAATCCCAGCATGCAGGAGGCAGAGGCAGGCAGATCTTTTGAGTTCAAGGCCAGCCTAGTCTACAGAGCAAGTTCTAGGACAGCCAGAACTACTCAGAGAAACCTGTCTTGAACCCTGCTTCCCCCAAAACAAAAACAAACAAACAAACAAAAGATAAAGAAACAATGCACAGTCAGAGGGAACCTAATTAGGGGACAGAACTCTAGTAGCAGAATCGCTGAATGCTTCTGCTAGCTGCAGAATACATCTCTGCCCCCAAATGTCCTCTATGCCCAGAGGCTTTACTTCATCTGCTTCCTTCACTGTGTACTTAGTGCACAACCATGACATTGTTGCAAGACTGAAAATTCAGAAAGATGGTTATAAAAGTCTGTTCTTGGGGGCCAATCAGCCCAATGGGAATAGGTGTTTACAGAAATGACTATTCCAGTGGCACAATTCCTATTTTATGTGTATAGGTATTTTGCTTCTGTGTATGGCTGTATATCGTTTGTGCCTGTTGCCCTTGTGGAGGCTATAAATGGGTGGACAGGTCCCCTGAAACATGCCTGTGAGCTACCGTGTGAAGAGCAGCCAGTGCTCTTAGCAGCTGAATCATCTCTCCAGCCCAAAAAGAGACGGGACTCATGGCAAGAAGGGAAAACTAGAAAGAACAAGTGCCTCTGCCAATAGATATGGATAACTCCCTGACTGGGGAGTACATTCTCCCTGCCCCCCCCCCCCATTATCTTAAGGACAAGGCCACTGAGCCTGCTGGTCCTAGAGAAAGAAAGCCCCCTAACCTTGCAGGTGCGCTAAACAATCCTGCCTTGTAAAAACTGTGTACTCTCTGAAATCTCTGTAACCTAGGAAACCTTATTAACCATTCTGAGTTTTGAACTGTCCCATGACCTTGCTTTTAGGCCTAATGAAAATAATAGGCTAGCCTTGAAACTGGCCTTGTTAGCTTTGATATAAATCCTATAAAAGCTGTCTCAATTCTGCCCTTGAGGTCCTCAGTCCTCTACCCCTGTGTGGCGTATGACTGTGGACCCCAGTGCACTTGGAATAAAAACTCCTCATGCTATTTGCATTGAGATCGCTTCTCGTGAGTGATTTGGGGTGTTGCTTTTCCTGAGTGGGAGTGTGAAGGTCCACGCTCTGCAGGTCTTTCAGTAACAGGATCCCTAAGCCATATATTAATTTTGCCTGATCCCTAAGCCATAATGTTAATTTTGCCCGTTGAAGTTCATTGGAAGGTAGTGGAAGGATGGAAAATACAGCCTAACTCTCCAGTGACCCCAGGAAGCTACAAGTTTAGAAATACTATCTAAGAAGCCCTAAATACCTCAAATTCCAGACCCTGTTTGCATCAAGACCGCTTCTCATGAGTGATTGAGGGTGTCGTCTTTCCTGAGTTGGGAGTGTGAAGGTCCTTGCTTTGAGGATCTTTCATTTGGTGCCTTGGCCAGGAATCTGCAACCACCCCTCACACCGAGAACCGACTTGGAGGTAAGGGGGTCCCCCCTGGTGTGTGTGTGTGTGTGTGTGTGTGTGTGTGTGTGTGTCAGCCGGTGACTCTGTTCTGAGTATCTGTTTTCTGGAACACGCGCTTTTGGTGTGCAGCTGTCCTCTCAGGCCGTTAGGACCTGAGGACTGTGATAGGCAGACGTACGTACTAGGAGGATCACAGGCTGCTGCCCTGGGGGGACACCCTGGGAGATGAGGAGGCTCAGGGATGCCTGGTGGCCTCCTTCTGTCGGTCGGTCGGTCGGAGGACTGAGTTCTGTTGAAGCGGAAGCTTCCCCCTCCGCAGCCTCAGATTCTTTTGCCTGTTTGTGGAAGATGTGGACGGGTCGCGTGTGTCTGAATCTGTTAGTTTCTGTTTCGTGCGTTTTCATTCTGTGTGTCTTTATCTATAGTTTTATCATGGGACAGACGGTGACAACTCCCCTTAGTTTGACTCTTGACCACTGGACTGAAGTTGCGTCTCGGGCCCATAATTTGTCAGTTGAGGTTAGGGAGAGACCCTGGAAGACTTTTTGTACCTCTGAGTGGCCGACATTCGGTGTTGGATGAACACCAGAGGGAACTTTTAATTCTGAGATTATCCAAGCTGTTAAGGCAACTGTTTTTCAGACTGGACCTGGCTCTCATCCCGATCAAAAGCCCTGTATCCTTACATAGAAGGATCTGGTAGACAACCCTCCCCTGTGGGTTAAACCATGGCTGAGCAAGCCAAGAGAGCCAGGCTCCCGAGTTCTGGCCCTCGAAAGTGAAGGAAAATGTCTGCCCGAGGGACCCAAGCCCTCTCCTCGCATCTACCCCGAGATTGAGGAGCCTCCGGCCTGGCTGGAATCCCAACCTGTTCTCCCACCCCCTTATCCGATACAGGGTGCTGCAGGGTGACCTCCCACCCCCCCTGAAGCTCAGGCTCCGGCAGCGGGAGGACCTGCTACTGGGATTCGAAGCTGGAGAGGAGCCACGCTGGAGCGGACAGATGGGGTTGTGACCCTGCCACTGTGCATGTTTGGCCCCCCAGTGCCGGGTGGCCAGTTGCAACCTCTCCAGTACTGATCCTTCTCCTCAGATCTTTATAATTGGAAAACTAACCACCGCCCTTTCTCAGAGGATCCTCAAGGCCTCACGGGGTTGGTAGAGTCCCTTATGTTTTCTCACTAGCCTACTTGGGATGATTGACACAGCTGCTGCAGACACTCTTCACAACCAAGGAGCGAGGAGCAGGAGAGAATTCTGTTAGAGGCTAGGAAAAAATGTTCCTGGGGACGACGGGAGGCCCGAGCAGCTGCAAAATGAGATTGACGTGGGATTCCCCTTGACTGGCCCCAGTTGGGACTTCAACACCGCTGAAGGTGGGGAGAGCTTGAAAGTCTATCGCCAGGCTCTGGTGGCGGGTCTCCAAGGCACCGAGAGATGGCCCACCAATTTGGCTAAGGTAAGAGAGGTGATGCAGGGACCGACCTAACCTCCCTTGGTGTTACTTGAAAGGCTCATGGAAGCCTTCAAGCAGTTCACCGGAAGAACAGTGGACCTTGGCATGGGCCGGGTATCCCACTCATTCCTGGTTATCCTAGAATGCCCTTACCCTCTGTTAGGAAGAGACATCTGTCAAAAATGGGAGCCCAGATTCATTTTGACTCTGAACAGCCATCAGTAACTGATAAACAGGGAATTGCAAGTCCTCACTGTTAGACTAGAAGATGAGTACAGACTCCACGAGGAGCCCGGGCATAACCTAGACTGTTCCAATGGGGCTGGAACCTCCAATGTGGACTGGTGGTTGGCCCAGACTCCTTTAGCTTTGGCTGAAGTATCCAGATGGGTCTGACGAAACAAGTGCCCCCACAGGTTATTCAGCTGAAAGCTAGTGCACACCAGTATCAGTCAAACAGTGTCCCATGAGTAGAGAGGCTTGGGAAGGAATTCGACCCCGTATGAAAAGATTGATCCAGCAAGGCATCCTGGTCCTGTTCAGTCTCCCTGGAACACTCCCTTGTTACCAGTTAGGAAGCCTGGGACCAATGATTACCTGTTGGTGCAGGACTTAAGAGAGGTCAATAAAAGGGTGCGCAGGACATACATCCAACTGTCCCAAACCCTTATAACCTCCTGAGCTTCCTCCCACCTGAGCAGAACTGGGACACCGTATTAGACCTAAAAGATGCCTTCTTCTGCCTGAGGTTACATCCCACCAGCCAACCACTTTTTGCCTTTGAATGGAGAGACCCTGATGCCGTGACCACCTCGACCAGCAAGGAAGACGCAATGCTCGGACTCTTCTTTAAGCAGCTTTATTCAGGAACCTTGAACAATCTTCTGACCCCGGGAAAGCCAGCCCACAGCTTAAAAGCCTTTGGGCAGCCAACCCCAGCATGCCACGTGGTGAATGCAGACAGGTCCACATATGCGGAAGCAAGCCAGATCTTCAGCCCTAGCCAAATATAGAGTTGTTTATGACAGAGAGCGCTCACCATCAGGAAGGTAGAAGCCAGCGCTATCTTTAAGGTGCGGCACTTCACAGCTCTCTACAGTTC